CTCTAGCTTTCGAGTTTTGGGGTTGGGTGCGAGGTAACTGCATGGAAACCCTAAACCCTAAACCCTATAAGCCCCAGGCCCCAAAACCAAACAGCGGGCCCTAAACCCTAACCCCTAAACCCTAAACCCTAAACACGTGATATAGCTGCACAGGGCACCTTCCTAGCTGCTTTCTTGGCTTCCTCCTCATCCTCTCCTGCTCCCATCTCCTCCCAATACTTCTTGTGGTAGGCGCAGGACTTTCTGCTCTTGCGTGCTTTGGTGTTCGGTGTCAGAACCTGGGCCTTGCTGGCTCGTTTTTTTGGGGTTGCTTTCTTCTTCGGGGTCGCTCGCTTTGGGTTCGCCTGCTTCTTCGGCTTCGCTTGCTTCTTCGGAGTGGCTGCCTGAACGTCAGGGCTTGCTGGCTCTTTTGCACAGGCGCGCTTGGGCGATGGATCGCTTGCTGGTTGGGCTTTGCGCTTCGACGGCTTCTTGACTGGTGTGTCGGGCTCGTCTTCAGTCGGCTTCGCTTTAGCTGCTGTCTTTGCTTTGGCCTTTGCTTTTGGGGTTGCTGCTGCTTTTGCTCTTGGCCTTTGCTTTGGCACCTGCCTTACGATTGCATGCTCCAGCCCCGGCATCATCAGCATCATCGTGATCATCATCCTGGGCTGCTGTGCCTCCTTGTTGCTCGGGGGACACAAAGCCTGCCGTTCCCCAGGTTGAAGGCTTTCCAAGTTTCTGCTTCAGTGCTTCTTGCTCTTGCTCGCTGGGGGCTTGGCCTTGGCCGTCTGGCTTGGAGGTCACCGCATTGCTTGGGGGGTGGCTCTTACCATGTGCTTGCTTTTTGTTGCTCTGGGGGTTGTCTCCACCCTTGCCACGCCGCTTGTTTTGCAGAGCCTTCGTTTCCTCAGCTGCGAGCTTCTCCGCGCGGCGCTCAGCTGCTTTCGCAGCCAGCATGTCCTTCAAAACCTTGTTTCGGCTCGGCTGCTGCGGGCCTTGGACAGGGGAGTTTGATGGCGCTGGCTGTGTCGCTGCTGTTGTTGGCTCGGGATTGCTCGTGGGCTGCAGCTGTTTCGGCAAGGCTGCTTGCTCCTGGCTCGGATGGGACGTGGAGCAATCGGGCACCTCGGTTTGCTGTGGCGCTTGCTGGGTCACCTTTAACACCTCGATTTCCAGTGGAGCTTGCTGGGTCACCTCTGGCACCTCGGTTTCTTGTGGAGCTTGCTGGGTCGCATCGGGCGCCAGGACTTCTGCTTGAGGTTGCTGGGTGGGATCGGGCGCCTCGGTTTCTTGTCGCGCTTGCTGTGTCACGTCGGGCTGCGTTGCTTCTTGCGGAGCTTGCGGGCGCAGATGGGGCCGGTCCTTTTTTTGCATAGCTTGGGTTGGCGGATTGGGCTTTGCAAGCTCGTTGTGTTGCTTTGCGGCGGCTGCTTGTTGTGACTCGGGGCTTGCTTGGTTGCTCGCAGACTGCAGTTGTGGGCAAGACACTTGGGGCCGTTGCACAGGGGTTCTGCTGCCTTCAAACTTGCCACTTGCTCCAACACCTGCCGAAAAAATCTAGGAGCACATGCACACCCACACCCACACACATACACATGGCAGTATCGAACGAAACCCGAAGCCTGATCCAAAGTTGTGCTTGCACGAAGGTGCTCCCGACAGAGACATCAGGTCCACGCCAGAAGGCTGGGTCTCCCAATCATCCATACCTTGCCGATCGTTGGGGGGGAGGGTTTAGGGTTTAGGGTCTAGGGTTTAGGGGGGGTTTAGGGTTTATAAGGTTTATAAGGTTGAGGGTTTAGGGGTTAGTCCTGGGGTTTAGGCTTTAGGGTTAATTAGCTAGGGTTTAGGGTTCAGGGTTCAGGGTTTAGGGTTTGGGGCAAAAGGGCTTAGGGGCTAGGGTTCTAGGGTTTATAGGATTTATAGGGCTTAGGGGTTAGGGCTCTAGGGTTTCTAGGGTTTCTAGGGTTTATAGGGTTAACAGTGTTAACAGGGTTTAGGGTTTAGGGTTTAGGGTTTAGGGTTTCGGATTTATAGGTATTCATGGATGCCTATGTTTGCCACAAAGTCGCACTTGTCGTGGCTGAAGGTTGGCTTGGGAGGCATGGATTGGGCTCGTTGCTTCAATGATTGAAGCGCTTGCATTGCTTGGTGTAGCTCCTGCATCTTCTTCAGTTTCCATAGCTCATTCTCCTTGGTTGGGAGTAGCGATGGATGAGAACCTAGTCGAGTAACTGTCTAGTTGGCATGCAACCGGGGCTCCAGGTTCGCCCTCTTCTCCGGCGTGACCATACAGGGACCTCTCAGACTTAACCCATATGTGGCCCTAGGTTCGCAAAACATGTACATGTGTGTCGAGTCATATCGGCCAGGCCTAGGTGCCTCGGAGACGGGGTCTTCACAGTCAGCGACCCGCCCTTTCAGCAGCTGCCCAATCCCCGGACCACACACAACTTGTACCGCTAGTGCCCCAGGCCTCCAGGCTCAAGCTCGACTCCGATTTGCATCTCACTATTCCAGTCGGCGCCTGCCCAAAACTTAATCGACCCGAAACACAATCGACGCTAGGGCCTGTAGGTACAGTTACAAAGCTACCTTGCCTCCACTGCTGCACTCACCTTCAGTGGTGGGCTCACCTCCATTGGTGGGCTCACCGATGCAGCCTTGGACAGAACCCTACCACTACAAGTCCTAAACCTCTAACACACGTAATTGGCTGCGCTAGCTCAGCCAAATTGCCAAACCCCTTCCACCAGCCTAAGTGAAAAGCCGGCCGGCCTCTGCAGGTGCTTTGCCCCCGACGCCAGACGAAGCCTGAGGGAAGCAGGCGCTTGTGCTTCTCGATTATATTTCTAATGGGGGCCGGGCAAGACGGGCCTCAGATTCAGGAAGGGCTGGGCATTCCATCGTAGAAGCCTGCTAGGTCACAATCACACTCGTATCGCGATTCCAATTTCACTTCAGTTTAAGATGTGGGGGTGTTTACCCGTGGCACTACCCTAACCGCCTCGGTGTCGACATGTTCATCATCTGTTACATCCTCCTCTTCGGCATTCTCATAGGCAGCCTCACCCTCGTCACTGTCCGGGTCGTGACTGCGAGGCTTGAACGAGATCTGGATACCTAGATCATCCATCATGTCACGAATATGCTGCTCGCTGGGCAAGTGCGGACGTCGGCATGCTTCATTGAAAACCGAGATCATTCTTCGCAAATGCCAGCCCTGTGAATGACAAGCTGCTCCTGTGCCCGAGCAATGAACGCGCACGGTAGCCCTGTGCCCACCCACCCACCTACCCACCCACAGACACACACACTGACACACACACTGACACACACACACACACACACACTGACACACACACACACACAAAAAGGTCCTGAGATCGAGATTTGTTGGAGATCATAGCACGATTGCACATGCATAGCGCACACATCGACCGAAACACGGTTGCCCAGATGCTGGATGGCCATTGTGACCAGTTTTCGATTAGGTCGCAAAGATTCCCGGTTGACGGGAGTCCCAACACCTTCAACCTGCACTCACATGTACATGCTCATGTGCATAGCTAGCCAAAAGAACCTTTTGTGCGTTCCAGTGGCAAGCTGAAGCCTTTGCGAACGTCGGCGAAGGTCCGACTGCTCTTCCCACGCACGTGCGAGCACGGTTTCACCAGTTGCCATAGCAGCTAGCTTACAATTTTAAAAGCTGACTCTAGATGAAGTACGGGTCTTAAAGCTGACTCTAGATGAAGTACTGGTCTTTTTCTGCCGCGAGCCCCCTACAGTCCTACAGATGCATGTCATGTGGCTGCCTGCCTGGAGCCAGTCATATGCGTATATCAGGTATGAGCACAGCGCACAAACACCACCTGGTATGTGAGCACAGCACACAACCATCACTTCATTCAAGCCAGTCGCCTGCCTTGTCGGGCAGGCTCGTCTCCGTGCTCCAGCCCATCGTCATCGATGATGACTATATGATGATCCGAGATGTTGATGATATGGTTCGCGTTATATAAGGTACGTAGGGTGTGAAAGCTTTAGCAGGTTTGGGTTTTAGGGGCTACGTCTTAGGCCCAGCTCAGGGTTCCCAGGGCTTACGGCTTTTCAGGGTCTGTACTGTGTTCCCGTAACGGTAGCTACATGTGGGTCAGGGCCCAGGGCTCGAAACAACCCAACAGGGCTTTGGGGCAATATATTTGAGGCTGCTTGTTGTTGCCAAGCCTTTTCTTTAACTATTTCTTCTCCTGAACCAGAAACCAGGCGACCCGTGCGAGTCATGCACGCAACAAGATTTCCAGGAAAACAAGTTAACCGCCAACTCTTATATTTTTTTGCCTAAAAGGAATGTCCAGGGAGGACTCTGAGTGCACCTTTGTATTGTGTACCTGCCGCCTCTGTTCCGGATCTGCCACCGAAGCTTGCTGAAGCTTCCGTCGTTTCCATGGAAGTTCCCCTCTAGGCACAACATACATGCATGCCGTCAAAGGAAGCGCTACAAAATGCCAAAATCTCTTAGACAAACCACACATATATATATATATATGTATATATCTCATGTCATGTAAGATGCCCCCATACACATGGATGTATATTTGGCAGCGCTGGGACCTACCAACACGAGGCCTGATTGTTGCATCGGGCAGCCTCAAGTCAGCCTGAGGCTAGCACGCTTACAAATCTTCAGAGTTTGCCTGGGTTGGTCAAAGCAGAGCGGCAGCCAGCAACCGTCCGCCAGCAACTTGGGTTTCGGATTAAGGGATGAGCAAGAACCCCTGAAGTCCCCCAACTCCAAACCAGAACTGTCAAACTCCTCAAGCCGCAAGACAACCTCCCAAGGCACCTAAGCCGCGCAAGCAGATTGCTGCGAACGTAGCAGAAACTCAAAGAGAGGAGACCCCGCAATACCAGAAGCGAAGCCAACCCCCCCCCCAACCAAACAAAAGAAACACACACCTACACACACACACAGAGACACGGACACAGACGCCTTTCCTCGGACAGCAGCAGCTCCCCTGTCAGCGTTGGCCCTGGTGGCGACGCTTGCGACTTGCTTGAGAAGCCCAGTCCCTTGAAGGAACCTGACGGACCGCGTGGTCGGATGACGCCAGCGGAGGAGAACCATCTGCTACGCTTGCCTGTAGGCGGCCATGGCCCGCAGCGGTTGCTGCACCAGTTGCGCAAGGTTGCACGGGACGCGGTCCCGGAGCCGCGTGGCTGACAGAGGCATCTGCTTGGACCCAGGAACTCTGTAAGAATTCCAAGAAGAAATTAGCAGTGAAAGCCGGAGGCAGAACTGCTGCGACTTGTGAAGCGTGGAGCTGCTCCAAGATTGCATGATGCTTTCGGCTGGGACCATCAGCTATGTTGAGTTCCGAAGGAACGCGCCCCACCCATGCTGAGCATTTGACCCGCCTGACTGCCTGCCAGAACAGCCCTGCTAGGACTGTAAGGTGCGGCGACGAACTGTATGCCTTGACCAAGACACCTTCCGCAGCCACGTTGTCTATGAAGATGAAGACATCCACGTTTTCCAGCCGGTCCGACCAGGTGAGCAATGCCACCACAGCTGCTAAGGCCTCGGCCTCATTTATGCAGTGACCCGACAGCCAAGGCAACAGGTTAGAGTCCTCTGGTCGTATCTCTTGAGAGAAAAAGCAGAACCAACCAGCTCCGCAAGCCACTCCTCCGAGTCTGTAGCTGTTGGCTCTCCCTGCAGCATCCACAAAGATGAGGGCCGCCCTTCGAGCCAGCGTGCCTGGAACATGCACCGGCATGGGGCCGGAGGCGCACATGAAAATGCTGAAGCCCACTAGAGCAGCTTGCAGCACTCGCCACGAGACTTGTCCGCCGCGAAAAGGGTTCCCTAAGAGGCCACGTAAAGGCACGACCTGACTTGCCGAGGGCCAGAGCCGAACAGTGGTCCCACTGGCCCACACATTTCCCAGCCACGGCAGCCGATAAGTGACGCTGCGCCAATGTAGACGTGATGACGTCCGAGTACTTCTTTACTTTCTGCTGCGGCATGTCCACGGTGCAAACCAAGCCTAGCTTCCGCTGGTGTTCTGTGGTGTCAAAGCTGAGGAGAGCTCCCAGCGCCACAAACGTTGAAGCACTTCCCGCTGCATCGCGAGGCGGTCTAGCCTTGGTGGCCTTGAGCCTGAAATTCAGAAGCTCGTGCAGCTCGACAAAGGCCTCTCGCGCCGACACTATTGCATCCTGAGTGTCCACGCCCACCAAGTCGTCCACGTGAGGAACGTTGGGGATCAGCAAGAGAACCGCAGCTATGGCTGACACGGCATCCGTGACTCGGCAGAAAACATGCGGGGACCCTCGCGGTCCAAACAAAAGCTTTCGGGGCACATAAATTCTGATGTTCCCCTCCTTGTCCTGGGCCGTTGCGCAAAAGAGCTTTCTATCCAAAGAGGACAGAGGAAGCTGCCGGAATCCGTGCTCGTAATCTTCGGCAAAGCCCCGCAGAGCTGGAAACTGCCCTTTCTTTTTGAAGGCGGCAGCCACTGTTTGGCAAAGCGAGAGGTAGCCATCCAAACCAGCCATGAGAACTTGGTTCGGCAGCAGGACCATCGATGGACCATTGGCTTCTTCCGGATCCAAGCAACCCCTAAGCTTAGATGGTTCTTGAACCCCGAAGTACAACCAACAAGCAAAGTCTCCCAACTCTTGACGCGCCTCTGACCACGAGTAGGACGTCCAAAAGCCTTTGGCGGTCTCCTCCTCGAGTAGCCTGTGAAGCTCCGCGGAGTGGCTGCCAGGCACCTTGAAGCGACCATCCTTCTGCTTAACAGCATGCTTGTCCAAGAGACGCTGGAGATCTCGAACATGAGCTGCATCATCCCAAGCAAGAGGTTCCGGGCGTTGTGGCCATTGTGGCACTACTGGCAGTCGTCCCAACAAGCGGAATCCATCTGGCTGCTGCGCATCTTCGGCCAAAGCCTTATCTGGATGGCCTGCCACTTCTGCCAAACGCTGTAACACTCCCCAACGAGGCTGTGTTGAAGGACCATCCGCCGCCACAACGCGACGAATACGCGCCATCTGCTCCGTCCGGTATGCCGCAATTTCTGCGGCGGACAGCGTAGCCCTTTGCCAAATCCCTGCAGTCACAGTGCTGGACAAGTCTCGGAAAGGTTGGCGCAGGGGGCTGCTGAATTGGATAACCTCGGAAACGAAATCTTCCCAGGAGGACATGTAGCGAGACTTGTCCGCCAGGATCCTCTCATCCAGAAAATCACCTTGACAAAACCCTTTGTGGGACATGATGCCGAGGATACGCGGAGTGAGAGAACTGGCGGGCGGAAGCCGTGCGTCCGAAGAAAATGCCGTGAGCAAGCTTTGCTGAACTTCTTTGCTGCTGCCAGACTGTAAAGTGGCTGGGTTCTCTGCTTCGCCGAGAGCCCCATCAAAACTGTGGCGACCAAGTGTCGCCGGAAGGCACCTTTGAACCTGGTCTTGGCGTCGCTCTTCAACCGGTACCCAATCGAAGGAGCCGCCTTTGTCCTACTTCTTGCCACGGGAAGACGTCGGAGTTGCTGGCGTCCTCTGCTCCGGCGAAACCCTAGCAGCGTTCTGGTCACCACGGTCACGCCTGCGTGAACGACTTCTTGAACGTCTTCGAGGAGACCGCGAGCGGGCCTTGTGAGAACGGCCCTCCTCTCTGACCACCATCTCCATGGGCACTCGTAGGGAAGCCAGGTGACGAGCCAAGTAGCCGGGCTTATTCTGGCAGATCTTGCCTTGACAGAAAGGACACGTGTGGTTGAAGCCGCATGTTTTCCGCCCATAACCGCTGCAGAAGTTGGGCTTGACTGCGTGTCTCAAGCAATGATCAGTAAGAGAAGGTTTGCGAGCCTGTGGAGCTGAAGGAGCTTTTGCACCACCCTCCTCAAGACAAACAGAATCCTTGGCTTCCGAAAAGACGCCGGGGTCGCGGCGCAGGAAAACCTGCATAGCCTCCTCAAACGGCTTCGTGTCCACATCTGGGTTCAAGGGAACATTCAAAGAGGATCCGTGAAGGAGCTCCCGAATCTTGATGCTGTACAGCACCGCCAATTTCTCCGCCTGCTTGTCATCGCCTGGAGTTTCACTGGCAATTTGAAGCGCCAAGCCCAACTCGCTGAACAACGCTGCCGGGGACATACGCTGCATCAAGAGGAGAGCGATGCCGGACCGAAGAATTTGCCAAAGCTGCTTGGCAAAGGCCCGTGGACCTTCATGATCTAACAGCTGTTTGCGGTCAGGTTGTGGGAAGTGCCCGACTTGAGCAGCCGAAGAGACTTTTCTGAGCAAATCCGCATCTGGAAGCAAGGACGGAGCAAACATGCCGAGTTCGAGGCGTTGGGCAAGCTCACCCACGGTTTGCTTATGTTTCAGTCGCTCGGCTTCCTCAGCAACCGGATCTGACATTCCAGCAACTCGCAGCGCCGTCTTCAAGCAAATCCGAGTCCGCGGTGACTGGGAAGCTTCTTGAGAGGTGAACGGCGAGGACATAATCAAGAAGCTCTTGAAAGCTGCTTAGCCCTCATGTGGGTGTCCCCAGGAAAGGCCAACTGAAGAACTCGTCCGTGCCAAGCTTGTTTGTCAAGCAACACCGGTTCACTCTTCTTGGCTCATTCATAGCCAACTTTTAAACCAGTGTGGAACGCACAGTTCCAAGCAGGATCCAACTCGCCAAAGAGCTGCGTATTGTGTTTTTTCCCCCTTCCTCCTCCCCAACGCCAACTGTCTGTGCCACGGCCACGTTCGGCGCAGGCGGGCAAGCAGCTCCCACTAACAGTCCTTTTGCTAGAACTTGAAGTGAAATGGAGAAACGTTGTTTGCTTTCGCGCCGCGGCAGCTTGAAATTGTTGCAATGACATCTTGCCTGAAATCTTGCATTTTCTGAAGCCGCTGGCAGCTTGAGCCAAAATGGCCTTGCATTTCTGAGCCGCTGGCAGGCCTGAGGGAGATAAAAATAAAAGACAAAAAAAAGCCTCAAGTGCCCGGCTAACTTATGCTAAAATCCTTTTAGCAATTGCGTTTTTAGGGCACCCCTCGCTAAAGGCCCCGCAAGCCCAAAAGCCCCACCCAAAAGCAAAACGCGGAGGCCCCCGCTTGTCTTGGCGTCGGAAAGATGCTCGGGGTGCCGAACTCGAGCTCAGCTGATCCGCCAGCAGACTCTTCGCCCTGCGTTTTGCCTTTGCTTTTATGCTTGGCTAGTTTCATTTAGGCCTGTGCAATGCGATACTGGGCCTGGAGGCTTTTGCAACTAGACGTATGCTTTGGGGAAGATTGAAACAAATAACAAAGAACCGATGTTCCTCCTTGCCTTCCGCAAATGCCCTTACAGCAAAACCTCAGGGTTCAGGGTCTAGGGTTGAGGTTACGAACAAAGAGCCGCGTGGATTGCAGCCAGATTTGCCACCCAATTTGCGAACTCAGCTAGGACCCTCAGAATCCGGCCCCTTGCATCTCTTGGATGGACCATCAACCCGCTGAACAATTTTCCTGAACCCCAATATTTCAGGGACAGACGACCTACCGCCACTGGGTTGGATCATTAAGAAAAACGGGTTAATCAACCGGTTCCGCTATCCGCTTTGGGGGTGTATTCAAGTGTGTCTAATTCGTAATCCGTTGACCCAGTTTCCCTACTTTCTAATCCGCAATCCGTTTCTCTATTCCCAGGGCCTGTGTTTGTAGGCGTTTTTGGCTAGATAGACTATCTAAAACTACCTGGGGAGTTTCAACTAACCCTTAACGATTAAGGGAAACAGACTGCCCACCTCTATCTCAATACCTGGGGAGTTTCTTACCCTAAACCCTAAAACCGAACCCTAACCCTAACCAAACCTAAACCCGAAACCCTAAACCCCTAAACCCTAACCCTAAACCCTAACCCTAAACCCGAAACCCTAAACCCTAAACCCGAACCCTAAACCCTAACCCTAAACCCCCCAAACCCTCCAAAGCCCGAGGCCCCTCTGAGCTGCCGACCTTTGCCACTCCCGCGCGGAGCGCCAAAGAGGGAGCCGAAGTGGACGCCTTGCGAGTGTTGGGGGTTTGTTTTGGGGGGCCATATAGGCTTTTGAAAGGACCCTAAACCCTAGACCCTAACGCCTAAAGCCTAAAGCCTAAACCGAACCCTGCAACCCTGAAACCCTACACCCCTCAACCCCAAACCTCGCACGGGGGGGGGCTAGCCAAACATCTTTTTGCATCGGGCCTAATGAGTCCTGCCAGTAAGCTGTGCTGCTGCAAGCCTTGCAAGATTGACACCAGCCGTGCACAGCCAGGCGGTTCAAACCCAAAACTTAAACTTAACCGGCGCCACCGCACCCCCCCCCCCCCCCCCTGCCCCCCCCCCCCCCCCCCCTTGCCCACCCCCCTGCCCCCCCTGCCCCCCCCTCCCCCTTTCCCCCCTGTCCTTCCGCAACCCCCTCCCCCCCGCCCCCTCCCTTCCCAACCCCCCCCCCCTTCCCGCCCGGGCCCCTCACCCCTGCAGGGGTAAAAATCTGAAAACAAGAGAGCCTTACTACTTTTTCCAACAAAATCACCAACTAGGTCCTGGCTTGAAAAACAAAACCTTCACATCTCCAAAAAACAGCATGCAAAAACACCACTGCCGACATGAACAAAACAAGAGCTTTTTTTTGCCGAAAACCAGTCTGAAACTTGTTCATTTTCAAATTCAACCCCGCGTTGCCACTTGTCCAGTCAGAATGGAAGTTAACAGTTATTTCAAACAAGAAAGAAAAAATCACATGTTCGGGTCTTTTACAAACAAAAAGGGCGCAGCGACAGCTCGATAAAAGTATTGTCGGCTCCCATGAGCCAAGGTTGTTGCCCTCCTCCATCTGCTGAGGAGTGGTTTGCAAAGAGGCGCTCCGCTGGCTTTCAGCCGCCCACGCACTTCTGCTTGGACATCCCGGCGCACGATGCTCCACAACCCCCTTCCCCGTCACACAAAAGGGGTGTGTGAGCAGAGACGAACTTAAAAGACTTTGCCGGCCCCCCTCCCCGAAAAACCATTTTTAACTCCCGGAGGTGGAGCTTGGGGAGGCCAGGTTTGGCAGCCCGTTCTCCGGCTGCGGGTAAGCCCTGAGCGGAGCCGGCTTCACCCTGCCTTTACTGGGAGGTCACGCGGGGCGGCCAGCCCCCGTCCTCTGCTGTCTGAACTGAACGAGGGACTCTTTAAGACAGCCGCACGGCTGCAGTGGAACAGTCCCCCCCACTGCGGATAAGAGCACCAACCAGACCGTCTGGACCGAAACCCTACAATCTATATGCCGGGTGGTTGGGGTGGGGTACCGCCAGTCGAAAGCGCGCAACGTCTGGAGTGGGTCCCCGTAAAAAGCTACTCTATAGGGCCCACGACGCGCGCCAAGAACGTTGCCACACCCTAAACCCTAAACCTAAAAACCCTAACCCTAAACCCTAACCCTAAACCTAAACCCTAACCTAAAACCCTAAACCCTAAACCCTAACTCCCACCTTGCTTCCCTGATTCTTGTCGTCATGTCTCCCTCGCCGAATGTCAGCGGCTTGTCCCGCTCTTCGGGCGTTACCTCGCCAGGCAGAGCCCTCAAGTCCCCGGTTTTAGGGTTAGCTTTAGGTTTAGGGTTTCTGGTGTAAGGTTTCCCAAACCCTAAGGCTCCAAAAGCCAAAGTCGGTATTATTTTTCAGACTTTAAAACCCCAATGTAGTAACATTGTATACTTGGAGCCTTAGGGAAATAGGGAAAAATGTTGCCTTAGAGTCCTTACTAGGGACTATGGGGCTCCAAATTATAATGGATAGGGTACCCTGGACCCTTAGGGACAGGGGACAAACAACCCCCCCTCGTTGTTTCTACAACAGGGAGTTTATTGAGGACTTGGGTGATAGGAGTTTTGTAGCGCTAGCTAGGGCAACTCGTAATGAAGAAACGCTGCCTGTATTCTGCTGAGAGTTCCCAGGCTTCTGAGACGGATCCCATATCTTCCAAACCCCCTTAATTAAGGGCAATACCCTCATTATAACTAAGGATTCCTTATTCTGAATCAGGGTAATTCCCAATTCCCAATGCTCCAAGTATACAAATCGTACCTACATTTGGGGTTTAAAGTCTGTAAATAATACCTACGTTGGGCCTTTTGGAGGCCTTAGGGTTAAGGGTTTTGGAAGATCTGAAATTGTGTCGGGTGTTCTTGATTTCAGGAGGCCTGGGAGCATCCTGAGTGTGAATTACCTGATAACATACTTAATCCTGTTCCCACCAGGAAGAAAAAAGGATTTAGGTTTTTGGTTTAGGGTTTAGGCCATACCCAAAAAGGTGAAAAAAGTATCCCTAACACTGAATGAGATCGGCTGCGAGTGTGCGCCCAAAGCCGTCCCTGCCGAGGTTGGGGTTTCCGAATTCGGGTTCGTCTTGGGGTCTCAAAAATTTAGGGAATCCTACTGTTTGGGGTCGATATTATAGGGGTCCCCTATTTTCGGAAACCCCGAGATTGCACCTTGTGAACGCTAGCAAGCATACACAAGGTTCGTTGCAGTTTTCGTTTCAACTGTTCCGCTCGGGATGTTCCCCTTGTGCTAACTGTCCTCAATAGGGATTAGAGTGCCCCCTATTGTAATCCCTATTGAGGACTGTTAAGTATAAAAATGGGGAACATCCCAATACTCCAAGATCTCTAGAACAAAAAAGAATCTGAGCGCCCGGGCTCTTGGCGACGGCTGGGAGGCTCCCGAACAGCCCGCCTGCATTCGAGCTTAGTCCAAAGTACCCCCCCAACAGCAAGTCTACAAAAGTCATATAGGGTCGGGATAATCCAGTGTGCCGAGGTACTTGGGAACCCAAAGACCTTCAGAGCAGTTCCTCTATGCCTGCGGTGAGCAGAAACGGAACCCATTCACCTGCCATCAGGGTTTAAGGCCCAGGTTTTGTCCAGGGCTCGCCCTGGTAAAACCCTCGGAAGAATATTCCCAAATTAGGCACCCTGAATCCCACTAAGGGCAATTGTGAAGTGGTCCAATGTTCTACCCAAAGGCTCCAATGTAGTTCCTTTTTGTGTTAGTTATAGGGGGTTCTAGTATACTACCCCAAAAAGGTACTACATAGGAGCCTTTGGGTACCTAGTCTGTTGCCAGTTTTTTGGCCACCCGCCCAGCACAGCAGCGCACTGCGGGGACAACCGAAGAGGGCAACGACTTGAAACGACGGAATGACTTTGAAACGGGCGGCTTGAGGTTTATAGGATCTAGGGTCCTGAGATCACCCCCCCAAAAAAGAAACCCATGGGGGGGGGGGGGGGGGGTTTAGGTTTTAGGGTTTAGGGTTTAGGGTTTAGGGTTTAGGGTTTAGGGTTTAGGGTTTAGGGTTTAGGGTTTAGGGTTTAGGGTTTAGGGTTTAGGGCTACTAGAAGGTATATGTAAGCATTTGCATGGCT